CCAATGATGCAAAATGCATGGAAACAAACAGCACCTTATAGATCATTATAAGAGTATTCATAATATTATAACAGCAATTTTCACCAACCAACAAGAACCAGATAGCTAGAGTGGGTATTGCCTTCATGACAAAAACAGGTTTGCTCGTGATAGTCACTACTGTAACTCTCAGTTAAGAGTTAACCAAACGCATCCAAAATTGAACAGTCAAAAGGAAACAAGAACAAATCCAATTTCACTTGTTATTTGTATCTTTTGCTTTCATCTTCCACTTTCATCATATTCTCAGCACCAAATGCATGAAAGCCACCAAGATTTAAGTGAGTTCACTGTACCAAACAAACAATGTATTTGATGCATTTATCATATATGGTTACTTCAAATCTATGTATAAAAATAACAAACAAACAATGTATTTGCTAAAAATACGAATTTTCTTTACTTGTGACATATTTATTTTTGTAGAGATTTTTTAGATCTCGCAAAAAAACCCGAAAAGCCACCAAACGCAGCAAATAGAATCACACAAGATTTAACGTGAAAACCCTCAACAGGGAAAAACCACGGGATTAAAATCAATCCACTATTACCTCCAAATTATAATATTTTGCACGAACAAAGACTGTCAAACTCTCTCTCTCTCTCTCTCTCTCTCTCTCTCTCTCCCCACTTCTTGGTTTTTTTTCCAACAATAGAAATATATATATAAGGAAACCAAAACTCTATCTCTAGCCTAACTTCCTAATTAGAATAAGATTCAAACTCCTAATCATGATAGATCTATAACTCTATCTAATTCTCATGAAGTTATACAAAGAATTAAAAACACTATAGTTACTTGGAGTTTGAGTTGATACCCGACAATTTTAATCCAATGATGCAAAATGCATGGAAACAAACAGCACCTTATAGATCATTATAAGAGTATTCATAATATTATAACAGCAATTTTCACCAACCAACAAGAACCAGATAGCTAGAGTGGGTATTGCCTTCATGACAAAAACAGGTTTGCTCGTGATAGTCACTACTGTAACTCTCAGTTAAGAGTTAACCAAACGCATCCAAAATTGAACAGTCAAAAGGAAACAAGAACAAATCCAATTTCACTTGTTATTTGTATCTTTTGCTTTCATCTTCCACTTTCATCATATTCTCAGCACCAAATGCATGAAAGCCACCAAGATTTAAGTGAGTTCACTGTACCAAACAAACAGGCTCATGTCAGATATGACACATTTTTGTCACTTATTATTTACATCAGAATCTTTTGGAAACACCTATGACAGTGATAAAGACTCCTGGATAAGTTCCAGAAGAGGAGATGCGTTAGATTCTTCTATGCAAGTGTAATCATAGTGCATGTTGATATTTATCATGTGGTACTCAATAACTTGAGGAACAATCCAAACCAGAGATTTTCTTTGAGATCATGGTTTATGATTGGCTAATAATTGGTTAATAATTTAGGGAGCGGCAATTGTGGCGTTTTTGACGTTTCTGTTTTTGTTTTCAACAAAAACAATAAAACTCGTTTGGCAACCAGGGTGTTTTTTTGACTTGACCATTTACAAAATCCAAAAATAAACACTTATCTCAAAACACCAAAAATGTGTTTTGAGATTCCATTTTTTCATCTAAGCCGCCGCCGATCGTCCCAGCGCCCCCGTCGTCCCGGCCACGTCTGCATCGCGCCCACCCCGACCGCCCGCCCCCGTCACGCACCGCCGCCGCCGGCCCACACCGCCATCGCACCGCCCCGCCGCCGCCATCGCCGCCCCCATCGCGTGTCGGTCGTCGTTGCCCGCCCATCGGTTCGTGTCGCCGCACCGCCGTCGCCTTGTCCGTCATCGCCACCTGTTACCGCCGCTCAGCCAATGGCTAAGCGCGCCGCCCGCATGGCTCGTCTGTTGTTGCGCACGGACGTCCGCCGGCCACCAGTCGGCCGCCCGGCCCCAACCTCTTGTCGCGTCCGCCCCGGCGCCCGTCAGCGGCCACCCGTTTTCGCCCGCACGTCGCCGCCGTCGCTTTATAAATAATAACTATAAATGGTGTTTTCAAAACATGTTTGAAAAAAAAACACCATTGCATAGTGTTTTTCTAAAAAACACAACAAAAACAAACACCTCGATTACCAAACACACCCTAGCGGTCCATCTATGAAAGACGATGATGATTAACAAAATGGAGGAGATAATTAATTCTCAACAGAACTGAATGGGAGAATATGATTCATGTAACAGACCCTAAATATATGAGATAAAGAACTTATTGTTGTTGTTTTCTGCAAGAATGAAATTATTCATGTTAGGTTCATTGAGACGTAGACATATTCATTAGGAAGTTAATTCTTTGTTTGTGTCGAAAGTCGTTTACATTGCGGAATCCATTACAACTGTTTAACAATTACAGATTCAAAAAGAATGAGTCTTTGTATAAGACTTTTCTTACACAAATGAAAATAAACAAAGACTTCCTAGAAACACACGCATGATCGTTTATCGGTCGCTGCTTGCGTGTAATCTTTGTCTGTGTCGGGGACGCTTTGATCCGTGGACCGCTGAATAACAGATCCATGTTTGATCTGAAAGAAGGCTCAGTGTTCTTTGTTTCAATCGTGGAAACTTAGAACATAAGTGAATAACCTCAACAAAGTGAGATTACTACTCTTCTCAAGATTACAACAAGGTTTGATCTCAATGGAATGGGTGAAGGCCTGCAAATCTCTCGGAATCTTCCTCTTTATTGCGTGTAATCTTTACCTGTGCCGGGGACGCTTTGATCCGTGGACCACTGAATAACAGATCCATGTTTGATCTAAAAGAAGGCTCGCTGTTCTTTGTTTCAATCGAGGAAACTTAGAACATAAGTGAATAAGCTCAACAAAGTGAGATTACTACTCTTCTCAAGATTAAAACAAGGTTTGATCTCAAGGGAAGGGGTGAAGGTCTGCAGATCTTTCGAAATCTTCCTCTTTATGCTGAAGTTCGCCAAGATCTTGTCTCTCTCTCTCTCTCTGAAATTCATGGCTCTCTGCTCTAGGGTTCGTCAGCACTTCGCACATACGCCAGCCCCTTTCACAAATGCACGAAAGGGAGTATTTATAGGCTTCGTACGCCGTGTTTGTGGATAAAATCTCGTGATTTGAACGTATCTTCAGTTAATAACCATTTTCCCGTGTTTAAGGATACTCCCAAGGCAGTTAGGAAGCCACTGGAACGCACAAATCCCGAGAAATCCATCAGAAAACGCATCGGGGCAACTTTAGTGTGTGAGACACCCTGAGGTGTCTCGCACTTTCGGGACACCTTGAGGTGTCTCGGAATTCGAGACAACAGTTCGAGTCTTGCCGTTTTCGTCGTTTCGCCGTTTCGTCGCTTCGTCGTTCCGACTTTTCGCGCGTTCCTTTGCTTCCTTTTGGCATTGAATGATCTTATTTGACTCAGATGATTATGTTAATCGCATCCTCTTCGTCTTGAGTTGTATCCGGGAACTTATAAGCAATTTTGACGCCCGTGTTGACTTGGTCCAATAGTTCAGGCAAGGTTCGATCAGTTCAAGCGAACTTCAGAATATGCTGCGAAGAACGGGTCATAACTTTCAAACCGTAAGTCGGAATTGGACAAATTATATATGAAAATCGCGTATTTTTCCGAGACGGGGCCGACCGAAGTTCGGTTTGCCGCCGTCTGTTTCGCCAAATTCCCATCGGTTTGAGAGATATCAGCGTTTTTTTGTCAGTTTTGAGCTCCTTTACAATCTATAGGCAATTTTTACTGCCTACATTCTTCTACTTAAGGTATTGATATTCTAGACGTCTCTCATCATCAGCAAATGCTTTATAAATAGTTTGAGTTCTACAGTCCCATGAAAGTTTCTTTGTCTTTTTTTTTTTCCCTTTTCTTTTCCCCCTCTTCCTTTTTTTCTCCTGCAGAAAATTCCTCTAAACACGTTGGAGGCTGGTCTGCAGGCCACTTTCCTAATTCTCTTCCAGTTTCTCGACATCAAAGAAATAATTGGCAGTATAAATACCATATAAAAGACTGACCACGCAATTTCTTGACGAAAAATTGAGCTAGAGACCGACTAAAAACTTTATTGACAAGCAAAACCAACATGACCTTAATAACGCTCACTTAATAAAGTTTGGAGGGGGGTCAAGTCAAGGAAACTCAAATAATACAGATTCCTCATGCTAGGTCTCGGTCCGTAACTTCAATTTTTTTTTTTTAGAGACTTACTTGACGATTGTTATATTAGAATACATCACTACCATAAGAGTCATCGTTACCATTGTGCTCCAAATAGGGAGCTATTATGTTTCAAACATTCAAACCATCGGCCGTGATCTAATCGCTAGTACTAATTAACTAGGTTCATAATTACATTATATATATATATATGACCGATACAAGTAAAGTCATGAACTAATTTGATAATGAACCGACCAAGACCAAACTCGCCGATGCTACGAGTCTATCAATATGACAATATTACATACCTGGACTGCTTGACTATTGATTATTGTTGTTCAGTTTTACACACTAAACAGTTGGTAATTATCTAATAAGACTTAATCCCTAAGTCAGAGGAAAATAAGCACGAGTTACATACATACGATTAGATCTAGTATATATACGGCCTAAGAGAAGTTTGCACGATCGATATTTACTCAAAAAAAAAATAGGGACGAAAGGGAAATAAAAAGAGAGAACGATCAAATTAAGGTATGTTCATTTCTACAAATGAATTATATCCATATACATTAGATTTTTTTTTTTTTTTTGCTTTATTTACTTATTCTTGTTTAGAACACATGAAAATTTCTTGTTTACTGCTACAATAAGTTTCTTTTATAATTGGCTGGAAAAGTTCGAGCATACGTCATTTCTTTTGTACGCTGCTTTTTGTGCTTTTGTGATGTGATGCTCATAACTATTAGATAAGCATGAGGTTGAACAAAACTAAAAAAAAAAATTCCAATTGATCGGATTCATCGGTTGCGTTCTGGGCCAAGAGAGAACCCCTTTGGTCAATACGCTACTCCAAGGAGAACAAGAGGAAATAAAACAATCTCATGGGTAAAATGACTCGAGAACCAGCAATTTTTTTTTTTTTTTTGTCATGGACTAGGCAGTTAACAGAACGAATCTAGACTGCAAGAACCAGTAATTGATTTAAGCAAATAGAACTAGCAAAATATATAGGACTATAAACAGTATATTACGAAGTGCTGAGAAAAACCTAACATGAGTTGTGAGGTACACTACGAAGTGCTGTGAAATGTCTAAAAATACGATAGATTCGAGGGATATACGGTTTATTGAAAGAAAGAAAAAACCATTGATTTCTTTACTCGTCCATGTACTGACAATTTGCGCGACCACTTGCAGGTACTACCAAAAGAGTTGCAGCCATGAAATACGACGAGATAATCCTCCCCGTTCATCCCGATCACGTGCTCAAGCTCAAAACCAAGGCAAAACCCTACACTTGCAATGGTTGTTACGAATATGGATTGCACACCCGATACACATGCAACGAGCCATCGTGCAACTTCCACCTTCACAAGGCTTGTGCTCTCGGCTCCATTCACGAGCCTACAATCACCCATGCTTTCTATCCAAACCGCACGTTCTTATTCCTCGCTTCGCCAGAAAACGCAGGCCAAATATGCAACGCGTGTGCACGAGAAATCAAGGGATGCAACTATCATTGTTTTGATGAAGACCTTTACCTGCATCCAAGCTGTGCAAAGCTTCCTTTCACAAGAGACGAGGGTGATGTGAAGCTGGCGTTGAAGTATAAGGTGTCATCGAAGTGCTACAAGTGCAAAAAGAAAAAATACAAAGACGAGAAGAGGAGCTGGTCCTATGCATGTGAAGATTGTCACCTCCATGTTGCTTGTGTGAAGGACATGCTGATTGAGGACTGGGAGAGGGGGTACCTCGGCCATGGAGGTGGATCAGGCAAAGGGAAGGCAAAGGTGAAAGATGAAATGGCACTGGTAGCGACAGAAATGCCAAAGCTACAAATTGTGATCGATAAAGGGAAGAAGAAATGGAGTTCGAAGCTCGCGAAGATTGTCAAGTATATGAAGATCATCATCGCTTCTATAATAGGAGCGGTAACTGGGGATCCAACAGCTCTTGTTCTTAGTTTAATTTCCTCCACCTCTTCTGGTTGAGATTCTGTTGAGAGACTACTATTGAGTGTGACATTGGAGAAGGGTTTTGCTTGTTGTTGCTTTGAATAAAGCAGTAGTAATGGGAGACTCGACTGCTGTGGATTTTGGTTTCCTTCTATCCTGATTTCGGATTGAAGGGTTTGGTTCTTTCCATTTTCTTGGTGTCTGTGGATTTTGGTTTCCTTCTATCCTGATTTCGGATTGAAGGGTTTGGTTCTTTCCATTTTCTTGGTGTGATGGTGTGCAAACCTGTATTGAGATATATTTCGGATTGAAGGGTTTGGTTCTTTCCATTTTCTTGGTGTGATGGTGTGCAAACCTGTATTGAGATATTATAAATAGTTTCATAAGGTTGATGACTTTGTTATTGGTAATAATAGACACAATCATATGATGCATAAGTATGTTTCTTTTATCAGCCATATAGTCTTAGTTTCACAAGGTTGACGGCTTCATTTTTTATCATCTTACGTGGTTGAAACAGGCACTTGAAGAGATTTTACAGAATAATGATCATACAGCAATGGAGTACGTTCATCTGTTTGTGTTTGAAGAAAAACTGACCTCGACGGCGGCGGATCGTCGGAGACGGAGGCTGTGATCGGCAACGGCGACTGCAGGTCTGGAGGAGGCTCCGCTGCTCGCCTGTTGAAAGGGACGAAGCTTTCGCCTGACGGGTCGAAGATGTCGCCTGCGAGTTTTGGAGAGGCGACCAAAACTCGCCTGTTCGAGTGCGAGCAAACTCGCCAGGATGGAACTCGTCTGCGGGCGTTGATTTCGCCTACATGGGTGGGATCCAGCTGGATCGCACCAACTGCCCTAGGGTTTCCCTATAAAAGGGAAACCCTGTTCACGAGATCAGGTGAAGCTCACTCGCGATTTTTACAGAGGCGTTTTCTCACCTCTATGGCGGCTGCTCTTCTCAAGGTCAATTGAGAAGTGAATTTTTCGGTGAAGAAAAATTGCACAGTCCTGTAGTAAATATTTACTACAGTAAAGAGTTGTTGTGAGATATCTTAAGTTAGAGATGCTTTCTTTTACAAGCTTTGTAATTTCTTGTGGTTAAATAAGAAATTATTAGTGTAGCTTCCGTGGACGTAGGCAAGTTTGTCGAACCACGTAAATCTGTTTTCTCGTCTCTGTGATCGTGGTGGACAAACCCACGTAGGTCTGTCCACGAGTAGCGCTGTGCAGCGCTACCCCCTTTCGTGCGCGCGCACGAAAGGCACGAGCGCGGGATTTTTCCCGCGGGACTTTTTTCCCTCCCGCGCGCACTCTTGTTTTCCCACCGTCCCAGCCCGCCAAAAGCTTCAGACTTCCCCCTTTTTTGGTTTTCTATAAATAGAGAAGGTGGTGGAGGAGTTATGGTGTGGGGAAAATAAGTGGGTTGTGTAGATTTCTTTTGAGAGAAAAGAAAGAGAGGAAGAGAGAACTTGTATAAGTTTGGTATTTTTCCTTCATAGTGAAACCCCCTCCCGTGGACGTAGGCAAGTTTGTCGAACCACGTAAATCCCGTGTTTGTATTTGTCTTATCTATGTGTTGCCATTGCTTGTAGGTTCTCTCGATATTTCAGTCCTAGAACATCACTTTCGATTCTTATATTTTACTTTGATGAAATATATCACTTTCTATTCTAGTTTCCTTTGAGAAACAAGAATATAGAGGTTAACTTGTGCTTTTGTGACAACAAAAGCCAAGGCTATCTCTCAGGTGATATCGCTTCCGCGGCGGTCGGTGTGACTCTGCGCCCAACAATTGGTATCAGAGCCCCTTATTCAGACTGAATGTGGTAAAATTTCTGATCTGAGGTGGTGGTTGAATATTGTGTGGTAAAACACAAGTAATTGTTAAAAATTCCTGAGAGAAGCGGATCTACATAATTCAAGCGGATAATGACTTCTACAAGTAAAACAAGTAAAGTTGGTAAATACGAGATTGAAAAATTCAATGGGAAAAATAATTTTTCTTATTGGAGGATGCAAATGAAAAATTCGCTTATTTCGCAAAAGTTGCACAAGGTTTTGGCTGGAAAAGAGAAGAACAAAAATATGTCTGATGAGGATTGGGAGGAGCTGGATCTGGAAGCACGGGCATCGATTATCCTTTGCCTTAAAAGGAATGTAGCTTTCTTGGTGGACGGGGAGGAAACGGCTGCGAGCGTGTGGTTGAAGTTAAAAAGCACATTCATGACGAAGAGTCTAACGAACCGGATCTATTTAAAATCCAAATTATATACTTGCAAGATGGAGGAGGGCTCGTCAATCCGGGAATACATTAACAAGTTTGATAAGATCTTATCAGACTTGAAGGACATTGAGGTGACAGTGGAAGACGAGGATCAGGCGCTTCTACTACTTCTATCTCTACCGAAGTCCTATGAGAATCTGGTGCAAACACTGATGCTTGTGGGTGATACTTTGTCGATGGATGAGACTAGACACAGCGCTTCTCATTGTTTTAAATATCGGCCGATAATCGATATTATCGGCCGAGTTATCGGATTTAAGAGCTCTCCGCTAGGATAAGTTGGTTTTGTAATTGGTTATCGTTTTGGAGAGTTTATCGGCGAGTTATCGGCGTTATCGGTACTTATCGGCCGATAAGTAAGGTTTTTTTATCGGGATTATCGGCCGGGCATTTTGAGTTGGATTGTTGAGTTTTTAAACCCGACCCGACCCACTTTCTACAATTAGTTAGTGATTCTAAACATGATGGTTTACATTTTGGTATGTTTATATTTCATTAAGCATGGTTAGATTATATTTTTTAGTTATTATATTATATATATACACCATCCAGTATATCACTCCGATAAATACTACTTATCCTCGATATATCCCCGATTTTCGCTATCCGATAAGGATTTTGATCGTCCGATAAATCCCTGATAACCGATATTTAAAACCTTGGCGCTTCTAGCGGATGATCTTTGAAAAATTGTAACTAGTGATATGACCACTGGTAGTAACAAAGAACAAGCGCAGGGACTGTTTGCCAGAGGAAGAGGCAATGAGCGAAAAAAAGGCAAGGGAGAAAAGTCTAGATCTAAATCGAGACCTCTTACGGGACGAGCGTGTTTCAAATGCGGTAAAGTTGGGCATTTTAAGATCGATTGTCCTAATAAGAGAGTATGTAAGAAAAAGAACAACAAGACTGAAAGACGAGAAGGCAAGGAAGAGGCGAGCTACGCTTCAGGGAAAGGGAGCGATAAGGAATGCTTTGTCGTCATAGGTGGCGAGGATACCTCCGGGAAGTGGATTCTTGATTCTGGTTGCTCTTACCATATGTGTCCAAATAGGAAGTGGATTCTTGATGGTGGAACCGTACTGATGGGAAACAATCATGCTTGTAAAACGGTGGGGCTAGGCGATATCAAGATCAAGATGCATGATGGAGTGGTTCGAACCTTGACGGATGTAAGGCACGTTCCCGACTTGCGGAAGAATCTAATCTCAGTTGGTGGTTCGAACCTTGACGGATGTAAGGCACGTTCCCGACTTGCGGAAGAATCTAATCTCAGTTGGTGCTTTGAACTCCGGGGGTTGCAAGATCGTAACAGAGAACGGAGTGAAGAGGGCTGTTCGGGGTTCCTTAACAGTGATGAAGGGTGTTCGTCACGGTAATCTATATACTCTCTCGGGTACGACGGTGACGAGAGATGCAGCAATTGGAACTGAAGGAAGTGGTGGAGACCCATGTGAGTACACACGGTTATGGCATAGACGGCTTGGACACATGTCAGAGAAGGGTCTGGATCTGCTTGGTAAAGAGGGTTTGCTAAAGAATCTAAAGAAACCTTGCGAAGGGTCTGGATCTGCTTGGTAAAGAGGGTTTGCTAAAGAATCTAAAGAAACCTTGCATGGATTTTTACGAGGATTGTGTGTATGGAAAGGCGCACAGGGTCCAGTTTCTGAGGAGCAATCACAAGAGCAGAGGGATACTAGATTATATGCACACAGATGTTTGAGGTCCGACTTCGACAACTTCCAAGGGTGGTTCCAGATATTTTGTCTCATTCATAGATGATCATTCGAGATATGCTTGGATTTATTTTCTGAAACATAAGAATGAGGTATTTGAGACATTCAAGAAGTGGAAGGCGATGGTTGAGAACAGGACGAGCAAAAAATTAAAGACACTGAGATCTGATAACGGTACAGAATATACAGTCGGTGCTTTCAAGGAATTCTGTGATCAGGAGGGGATTGCCAGACACTGGACAGTAAGATCTACACCACGACAAAATGGGGTCGCGGAGAGACTGAACCGAACACTACGGGAGAAAGCAGTGAGTATGCGATCATATGCTGGTTTGGGCAAAGAATGGTGGACAGAGTCGATTGCTACAGGTTGCTATATTGTAAATCGATCTCCACATTCGACATTGGACGGTGATACACCCTATCGGGTGTGGTCAGGGGAGCATGCAGATTATGAGAGGCTCCGGATTTTTGGATGTACCGCCTACTATCACGTCAACGAGGAAAAGCTTGACGCGAGGGCCAAGAAGGCAATTTTCTTGGGGTATGCAAAGGACGTAAAAGGCTATCGTCTTTGGTGTACAGAAGATTCAAAGTTCGTGATCAGCAGGGACGTTACCTTTGATGAGAAGTCCATGATTGCTAGGGTGCCCAAAGATGGTGGTGTTGAGACTGTTGGGATTCCCGAGTCCCAGGTTATTGAGATAGAACCTAAAGACCAATCAGGTTCTAGTCGTGTTCAAGTGGAAAGTCAGGTAGATGATGAGCTTAAGCAGGAGGAGGTTCGGCAGGAGAATACACAGGTACTATAACAACAGCAGCTCGAGGATAGCTTGGCTTCCACTAGGCCAAGGCGAGTATACAAGCAGGTACAGAAGCTGGGGACTGATCAACCCCTGAGGCACTATGGGTATGTTAATTTGGTTGAGTACGCACTCTCGGTGAAGGAAGATGAGCCGGTCTCCTTCAAGGAAGCTATTCGAGATAAGAATAGTGAGAGTTGGTTGGCTACGATGGAGGAGGAGATGGAATCTCTCCGGAAGAATCAAACATGAGAGGTGGTCTCATTACCCGTAGGAAGAAAAGCTATTGGTTGTAAGTGGGTGTATAAAAGAAAGAAAGATCCTTCAGAGCTCGGTGGTACGAGGTACAAGGCGAGACTAGTGGCTAAGGGGTT